TGCTTTTATTTCTAATTATGTCAGTTTCAGTCCTCCGTACTGCAGAAGCCTGATAATCATATATTCATTCAAACTAGGTGTGTTGGAGCAGAGAAACAAGTAAAACATGCAGGGCTGCGGCCCTCCAGGACCAGGGTTGCCCACCCCTGCTCTAGAGTATCTACAATCAGTGAGTTTATACTCTTCAGATTGAGACTGTCATCTGTGTCATTTAGTTTTTATGAAATTATTCTGGTGTTCAAGATTAAAGCTCAAAGATTTATATCGTCCATTGCCACACTGAGGGACAAATTTTAAGGATTACTGCAAAAAGTAATAATTGCCTGTAAGTGCCAATCAAAAATAATAGGTCAAATTAATTACATAAGTAAAGTTTACTGAAACCTGTTTTTGTTTACATGTTTACAATATCAACTTATTAAGAAATTAAAGGCCCAGCATTTCTTGAGGAAATGCATATCGCCCGTCTGCCAATGAGCTCAGAGTTTTAGACTGAAATTATGTTAATGTTAAAAAATTGTGGAGCTTTGGTCAAACTTTAAAAGTATTGTTAGGCACAATCTCATGTGATATTTGCTCAGAGCGTGTGTTTTTTTATGATCACCTGTAGTCAATCCAAAGGTCAATCAGTTGTTGGTTTTCTGATTAAATCTTAGTTAAACAAGATGTAACTTTTCAGCTTGTTTTCCAACAACACATGTTTACTCTTCAGTGAACCAAACTAACCAGAAGGTGGGAGCAGAGGTCAAGTTCAGCTCACCTGCGCCACAAACACAGCCTGAACACAAACCTATGACTGCAACAGAAGGAATGAGCTCCAAAAATAGCTCAAAAAGATCCGGTTGAACATGTTGAACATGTTTTCTTTCATTGACATTTTAACAAATGTTCTTCTCACATGTGGCAACAAGAGTAAGCTGGGCCTACGTGAACAAAGAGAGAATAATTGAGTTAATTCAGTACTCAGAGGTCTATGAAGTACTTGGAAAAAAAAACTAAAAGTAAAATTACATGAACAGAAAATGACTTTGGTAAAAATAAATTTCACTGATGACAAAACTACTCAAGTAAAAGTTATAAAACTGTTTACAAAAATTGGGAAAGTAAAAGTACTTTTATACACTCTCTAAGAAATAAACTGTTAAATTTACTGAACCAATAAGCCAGGTTGAGTAAATTGAGCAATAAATGTTTATTCTTTTGGCTCAGTGGAGCCAGATGAGTAAATTTAATATTTCATTTTTTCGAGAGCAGAAACATCTTCTTTCATGATGAGTTCCAACATGTTTAATTTTGTAACGAGCAACTATGTGTTACATTTTAGAGTAAAGAAGTAAAACTGTAATTTTTGGCTTTAAATGTAGTAGTTCTTTGTTCATTTCATTTGCAACACAGATTAACAAAGTACAAAA